CTGAAAGAGTGACCGCTGGCTTGTAAATGAGTGAAAACTGCAGATTTCTGGCCATTAGATGTAGCTCGTCTGTGTTGGGACATATCCAGGTGATGTGTATCAGTCACATGGAGGCAGGGCTTAAAAGCCTGAATTTTGCCTGAAACTCTCAGACTGAAGAAGTCTCTTGGAGGAGAGACGAAACGTTTCATTAGAGAAGAACCCGTCCAGAAGACCTACACAATTTTTTTCTTTTTGATTTTTTTACCTGGATTACTGAGATGCATCAGGAGCAAGTATCAGGTCTATTTTGTCTTATTTAATAAAGCTTCATGGGACGACTCCGTGTACCAGTCAACTAAATATCAGTACAAAACTACCACCCCCGGGCTTTTCACAATAGAAGCGCGATAGCATATCCATACATTTATGTCGTGAATTAAATCTATCCATATACTGTATATTAGTTTTGTCCACACTCGGACTACCCATTTGCTCGTCAACCCAGTCAGAATCAAAAGTGTTTAGAGCTACAGTATATCTACAACATGTAAGATATTATTTATAAAAGGTCTCCCTTGCAAATGAGATAATTACGTTTTAAACAAGGCTAACCCTGTATAAATAAAGAAAATAATCTTCTCAAAATACCGTACTTTACTGAGCTATGTCTTTAAAGAACTGTGTTTTAATCCCTGCACTTTGAATTTCATGGACATGAACTTGCTCTGAACCACAATGTATGTTGGTGGTTGCTAAAACAATGTTTTTGTTAGGATCAACTGAAAAAAACAAGTAAAAGCAACTTTTGCACCAAACTAACATCATATATTTTATAAAGATTTTGTACACTTTTGCACTGCTTTAAATTTTGTTTTGACAACTACTAAAACCAGTTTTCCCACCATGTCATAAAATTTCATCGCTGCTGTTGCAGATTTTTTTAATAAACTTGAAGAAAATAGTGATCGCTTATTCTGCTAGTTAACCTAGAGTCTGCTTTCATGTAAGAAAAGCTCACTTGTTTGTTTCAAGTTTTTTTGAATGGACCCAAACTGAAGATGGTCCTGCCCAGAAGACTTGTTTCATTGACTTATTTTCACTGCTGTCCAGATTCAGACAGCATGCAGATTATGATGATGGCTCGGCAGGAAACTGAAACAGGAAGTTGAGTTTATTTTGGTTCTGACACATAAAGGAAAAGACTTCTGTCTTTAACAGCTCTCGTGTCTTGAGTCAAAATTTATTTTTTCTACCAGAACGGAAATATTTACTATATTTGAGTTTTTTTTCTAAAATAACTTCATAATTTAGGTTTTAGACTGTAAAACTTGTTTATACTGTGTTGAAAAATGGTTTCAGACTCAACTTTATCTTGTTCTAGTTGCAAGTTGGAAACAAAAAGTGGTTTAATGAAACGTTTAGAAGAAAAAGTTTTTCTGTTGTAAACAAGATCAGACCTGAAATCATCAGTCTCACCTGTCGACGTCTCTTGTCTCCAGCCAAGCAGAGCTCGATGTTTTCTTTGAGACGAACAACGTTCAGCACCTGGCGCTGATCTTTGAGGATGTTAACTCGTACGTCGGCCGAGAGGTAACGGCTCGTGTTCCTAACAATTTGTGGTAAATCGTAGCTTGCTGAAATATCAGAACTTCAGTAAATTGAATTGTCTTTCATGGTTTTCTCTCTCCTGTGTGTGCTGTGGACCTCAGGTAACCCTGGACCTGTTACAGTTTGACAACATTGCTGTGAGGAGGGTCCTGAAAAGTGACCACAGTCTGGTGACCAAACTGGGAGTGACAGAGTTCCCTTCCTGCTACCTCCATCAGCCAGGAGGCAACTTCACCAGACTGAGAGTGTGAGTGTTTACACAACAACTGGCTTTCACCACATTTGCTTAATATTGTCCTCTGTTTGTGTGCAACCAAATAGTAAAACGAACAAAACAAATGACAGACATGGATAAAAAAAAAAACATAAAAATGTTTTTTAGTCTGGTTTGATGCACTTTTCTCTTGCTGACAATCGCTGTTGGGAGGTTTTACAATTGATGTGCCTTTTAAAATTCGGCAGCAAAAGTATAAGAGAGATACAGTATGAACACACATTTTTAATTTGGAGAAACAAGTTATTTTAGACATGCAGCTTTTCATCAAGGGAGGCTTTTATTTTGTAACATTTGACAGAAATCTGCGTCAGTCAACATGACTTTCAACACAAAGGTGTCAAAATTACATTTATGGAATTGCAGGAGTTTAATTTAGAATAACTCCATCTGTTCAGTGGAATGTAACAGATTACTTTAATAAATAATGTTGAATAAGATAAGACAGGACAGCAGAGAGGGAGTAAAGTATTGATTTTACAAAACTGGCAAGCATGTTTCGCAATTAAATTTGTGCAAAAAGGTTGTGAAATCAACTGTTTTTAGATTTGCACAAAAGACACTTTGTTTTCTGAATATATATCAATTGCAGATTGTGCTTCACATCCAGAGTTTAATAAACATGAGCCAAATTATTTACCTGGCTGAGATTTTGATGTTTTAGGTCTTATGTTGGACTTTTAGGGGCCATTTGCAAATAGAAACTGTCAGTGTGCACTCAGGCTGTTCGTTCTTTGTTTGAAACCAGAAATCATAAAGACGAAAAAAATAAAATAAAACCTGGTGAACCTAAATAAAAATCAAATAACAAACCGTTATATAGGTCATTGTATCTTTTGGTCATTGGATTTTTATTTTAGAAAAGGGTATTAAAAAACAAGAATTGAGTGGATATTTGATTTTTGTTTTAAAATACTGACATTAAAATTAAAATACAAAGCGTGTCTCATTCTTAGTGTCAAAAAGGGACAAACAAAATTTTAACAATGATTTGAGTTTCGTTTTCTGTTTCAGATAGCAAAAAAGAGAATTACTTTAAGACAGAAACGAAAAAAGGCTTGTTTTTTTGTATTCTACAACTGTCTATTCCCCCACCAGAAGGGGAGCTTGCCTGGCAGCTCTGCATAATGAAACATTAATTAATGTAAATAAAAGGCTGAAACACAGACGAGTATGTCCATAAATGAGTTGTATGATGACTGTCGCTCTGTGACCAAAGGCTTTGCTGAGGTAATTCATGTGGCTTTTGGCCAAATAAGTCTCTTTTACTGAACACATGTCGGCTACTTCCATTTCTCTCAATAAAAAGCTAAATACGATAAATTTTATTCCATTATTTTGTTGTACGATTGTTGTTCTGTGAGTAGAAAGTTTTTTTTGTCCTGAGTTTTCCCATCCTGAAATTCAAAAACTGTAGTCTACTTTTTTCTGTCAGTTTGAGTCCTTGGAGTTTTCCTTTCAGTGAGGGGTGGGCGGTACTACGACTTCAATATTGATCTGATACCAAATAAACACTTGGCAAATATATTTGCTACCGAAGTCAACATCAATGCTTTTTACTTGTAATGAGATGTTCATTGAATAACTTTGATATTGCAGACACCCCTTCTGGTGGTGAAACAGTTTGTTGGAGACAGTAAGTCTTTTTCTTTTCTGTCTAAAAGTAGTTTTTTTAGCTATCTGAAACAGAAAACGAAACTCAAATCATTTTTAAAAATTTCGTTTATCCCTTTTTGTCACTAAGAATGAGACACGCTTTGTATTTTAATTTTAATTCCAGTATTTTAAAACAAAAATCAAATATCCACTCATTTCTTGTGTTTTAATACCTGTTTCTAAAATGAAAAACCAATGACCAAAAGATACACTGACCTATATGATTTACAATTTTGTTCAGTAAATGAAAATAAATAAATAAATAAATAAATAAATAAATAAATATTTAAAAAAACGGATAATGAACGCTCACTTTTCTTTTCTTTTTTTTTGAGACAAGAGGACTAACAAGGAAGTTATCACTGCTCCTCATATGTCGTGTAGAGAGCAATTTGTGTACACACGCCAAAAACAAAGTAGAATTCATTTGATCATATTTACACACAGAAAACCTTATCTCCTGAATTTGTTTTGTATGTGAATTAAAAACACAAAAAAACTGAGAAAAGTGCAAGAGATTGGTGTCTGATTGTGCTGATAGTCAGTTTGCCGAGTATAAATTGAGACTGTTTAATGTCTGTTTTTGGGTGATCAACATTTGTATCAAGTCCAAACCAACCACACATTAATTGAACTGCATACATTTACAGTATTCATAACGCATTATGTTTTAGTTTATAACACATGCAGGATATAAGGTTTCCTGTGTGTAAATATGATCCCGAATTTGTTATAAACTAAAATTTTACCTCAAAAGAAATAAATTGAAAGCCAGCACTCGTTAACCATTTTTTTTACATTTTCATTTATTGCGCAAGATCAGAAAGCAGATAACAGGTATATGATTTTTACATTTTGGTTTAAAAACATCATGTTTTTTATTTTTATTTTTTTGAATTTTCAGTTTTGAATGTACACTGACTGGAAATCCAGAGCTTGCACTTTTAAACCCTCATCTGTCCTCACTTTATAACCAGTGGTACAGAAGATCAGTCAACTCTGAAGCAGTTTTCTTTTAATGAGGTTTTATCCCATGAATTGTTGGTGCAGCTGTTAAAATGACAAAAACGACGGGTTAAACAACACATTTTTACCGCAGCTGAGAAGCAGCAAACCCCACATCCTCACAGTTTCACCGAACAGTCGGTGAAATGTTGTTTCCTCTGCACACAATAAATCTTTGTTAAAACACGACACAGAGTCTGAGTTGGTCGGCGTTTCGGCGGGTATTTATTGTTCCGTGTGCAACAGCTTTGCCTTGTGCTGAAAGGCTGTTTTGTCGTGTGCTCATTACCTGAACCGTATTCATGAGAATACTTTTAAACATCTGGCCTCTTAATGGGATCAGAGCATCAAAATCGCTCCCATTATTCACCATCATAAAGCGGCACTGATCGTTCCTCACCCTGCAAATTCATCTGCTGTTTATGCCTCTTTGTTTGGCTCCTTCAATAACTTGGCATGCAAAGAGGACTCCTTTAGTTGACAAATGCAAAAAGGAAATGATTTATTGCTGATTTATTTATTCACCCTCCATCTCTCTCCCGCTCCCCACCCCTCTCATCTCTATCACTGTACAGAAGGGAGGGATTTTTTTTTTGTTGTTGTTGTTTTTTGTTTTTTTAATTTCTTGCATGAAAACAATGCCAATGCTTTCCTGGCTTCACCTGCCAAACAAGCCCCCAGCCACGCACGGCGACAGATGGCCTCCCGTCATCGCTGAATGTCTGATCCTGGGAGAGCTGTGTGTGAGTGTGTGTGTGTGTGTGTGTGTGTGT